AATGTCGCGAAAACGGCCGAAATTATCAATTCGCGAAAGTTTCTGGTTTACAGTATCTATTTAGGCTAGGCCTATGTATGAAGAATATGTAATAATATCAACTTTTTTACAGCTCAGTAGTTGATTCTGAAAACTTAAAAAAAAAATGATGTAGAGAAATTCCATCAAATGGGCTCTAAAACCTTGGAGGCAATGGCGCTTCCCCCCTTGACCCCCGACCAGGGCTCTGCCCCTGGACCCCGATGGGGGGGAGGGGGGCCTAGGCAGTTTCCCCCCCCCTATACCCCGACCTATTTTAATTTACTCTCCTGTTACTTTCAAATTTCTCCTGCTACTCAAATTCATAAATAAACCCCTGAGAGACCCTCATGGTTTTGTTTTAGAGTCAAATCTAAAATAAATCTAACGAATTAAAATTTCATTCTCTGAAAATTTTAGCAATGTTTTTGGGGAATGTGAGTGTAATTTACATGTATACTAATATGAATCTAATGACGTACCAAATCCGAATTGAACGTCTACTGAAAAAAGAGCCGTCATAGAAATAATTGCTTTGAGTTCCTTTCTTATTTCAGGTTGATTACAATCGATTTTTAAGTATTCATAACTATCACTTTTTACTGGTGTGTCATTTTAATTAATAGATAATCTCCATGACAACGCTATTGGGACTTTGCTCTGTACAAACGGTTCATTCACAGGTTGTGATTATAGCGTTATTTCGAACCCTGATAAGACTTCCACCACTAGTTTTACCATAAATAGTTTTTCAAAAATTATCACATGTTCTAAATGACTGAAATTTGCTTACCTGTAGGCGTAGGTATGTCTGCTGAAATGAAATGATAATTAAACAAATTGTCATTCAACACATAAACAAAACACCAATTATGCTTGTTACTGTTTTAGACTATAGGGTTGTAGTTAACAGGGTTTTCATCCAATCCTACTGTAAAGACAAAAAACAAAAAACAAAAAAAAAACAAAAAAACTGGTTTAAATAAGAATTGCTTACAGTATATTATAGGCCTAACATTGTAGTGAAAAAGATACAAAATAAATAAATAAATGAATAAATAAATATAAATAAATTCTGCTTTATAGTCACCTGGTTTGTGAGCCCTCTCTCTTTGTCTTCAGTAGTACTTTTAACTACTTTGGGAGGCCAAATAATACAGGATTGCAATAATAAGTTTTGAGGAAATACAAGCATCAATACGAGATTTGGTTGATTTGAAGTTGATATTTTTAGATTTAAATTGATAGTATTTCGACTGACAAAGCAAAGTCTCACGTTTTAAAAGAGTAAATTTTCATACGCTACCCTTGATGGTCCCTTTGCCATACCATTTTTTTCTATAGTGAGGCAATGTATTCGCCTACAGTATAAACACATATAGTCAAAAGTAAGTTGATTCTAATAATTTCAGAGGGCCGCTATAAATCCCATCATGCATCACTTGCAAATTGATAATTGGTATTGATTTTTGTTATGTACCTCTAGTTGTAGGAGGAAATCCAATCGATGCTTCACATGTGTACATACACACGAAGGGATATGAAATGAAATGCATATTGTCAACGTCAACTGAAAAATCTGACTTGTAATTATGTAAGCATGAGTAACACAAAGACTTCTCAACAACCTTGGCTGGCTAGGCCTAAGTAGCAGTAAGCTGAAGCCAGGCCCTATTTAGAGCTTTCATTGTCACACACTGGGGCAGGGGCCGATTTGGGGAGGGGATCTGGCCCCCTCCCCCCTTATATCACAAAATAAAATAAAAAACCTGCTCCGGGCTAGCCTATTTATACTCATGTTGCCCGGTTGTCTAGTGAAAAATTAGCAAGAAAAAACATTTTTATTAAGTTAAAAAAAAACATACCTTGGCAAACATGCTCTCCTGTTTCTCTATTACAATGAATCTATAAATAAAAAAATATCTCAGATTAATAATATTCTGAGGATTTTTTTTTTTTAATCAATCTTTCAATTTTCCTCCAGAAAGCTTTACAATAATTGTATGAAAACCAGAAGTGGCGCCAGAGAGTGAAATGGACGTGGTCAGGCATCATTCAAAATCTTTCAGAAGTGGTCCATGGGGTGAATTTCTGAAAAATATGACAATAGGGGTTTCAAAGGCTTATCAAATCGATTTTAAAGTCTGCTAATATGGAAAACAAATATAATTGTTTTTCTCCCTGATAAATTGTGAATCTTTTATCTCCCAACAGGTGGGGGGAGGGCAGCTCTCTCTAAGGGGGCCCTGGCCCCTTCCCCACTGATTCCACCCATGATGAAAACATAGGCCAAGCTGACCTGCTTTTTTCGTTTACCGATTAATTCATTTTTATCGTAAATTTAACAGATGAGTAACATATTTTTCAACTCAGAAACAGGTACATCTAAGATTAGAAGCACTTTATCTTATTTTTTGTTGTATTGGATGAACATGTTACACTCAATGGTAATGAAAATCGAATAGGTCGGCTACACTTGTGAAAAATAATACGCAAAACTATAAATTGGAATAAACATAGAACATGCTGATATGTCTTGAAGAATTACAGTAGAACCCATATTAAGGGGACACATTCAGGACCAAATAAAAGTATCCCCTTTACGGTAACAGGGTTGTCTCCTGAATTGAACCATAGTGTGCAGCATATTTACCCAGCCAGCAGCATGCTGACTGGGTTATGTTTCCTAGCAGTTTCTTTCTTTACCCAGCCAGCAGCATGCTGACTGGGTTCTGTTTCCTAGCAGTTCTTTCTTTACCCAGTCAGCAGCATGCTGACCGGGTTCTGTTTCCTAGCAGTTTCTTTCTTTCTGGCAACATTTTAAAAGGCTACTACTGGCAAACTACTGGACCGATTTTATTAAAACTTGGTCAGTAGGACCGGTGCCGCCTCCCATTTATGTGTTGTTCACAACTTGGGGTCAAAGGTCACATAAGGGGCATTAGGGTCAAAAAGCCAAAAATCCAATAAAAGACTACTTGTCTCACAAATAACGTAGCAGTCTTGTCCTTTGCACATATACATTGGCATAAGGCAGGGATAAGGGGTCAAAGGTCATTAAGGGGTAATTTTTATTTTTTTTCTCTCAACATTTCAAAACGCTACTAGTGCCAAACGGTTGTGCCGATTTCAACCAAACCTGGTCAGTATAATCGGTGACACCTTTCATACATGGGGGTTCACTGCTTGGGGTCAAAGGTCACATAGGGGTCATTAGGGTAAAAAACATACAAAAAAGTGAATAAAAGACTTCTGTCACAAATATCATAACACAGTTTTGTCCTGGGCACATATGTATTGGCATAATGTAGGGTCTTATTGTGTTCAGCGATTTACGGTCAAAGGTCATTAAAGGGTTATTCTTTTGTTCTCTCTAGTAACATTTCAAAATGCTACTAATGGCAAACCATTGGACCAAATTCAATAAAATTTTGTCATTAAGAACCGGCGACACCTCCTACACCCCAGTCTGGATTAGGAGTCACATGGGGTCATCGGGTTAAATTTTCAAAATAGCTCAATTGAGCTCAAATTACCAGGAATGATCCTTAGGAACTTCTAAACATGAAAAAATACTCTTCACCCCATATGTCAAAGTTCATAGGTCAAAGGTTCAAAATGTTACTAATGGCAAACGATTGAACCGAATTCAATCAAATTTGGTCATTAAGAACCAGTGACACCTCCTACGCACATGTCTGGCATCAGTATTTATATAGGGGCCATCAGGGTAAAAAAATAGCCTAATTGAGCTCGAATTTTGTTCTATTGAACAAAATATCTCTAGTTTCCCTTGTTTCATAAAAAAATTATCCCCTTAGTAGGGGTGTCCACTTAATAGAGTGTCCCAAATGCAATGCATGTGTAATGTGTGCCAAGGATAATAATCAACTATATTTCTATTACCTTTTGATCTGGTGAGCAAGTTATGGATGGAGCACTACAAATCTTGCAGGAAGTAAGTACATTTCTATCTTTCTGATATAAACCTTCTTCGCAATTTGAACACCTTAAAAATAGAAAAGTTAATTGAGGAGTTAAATGGAAAAGGGAATATGATTGAATATTACTGAACTCACACGCTATACAGTCTGCACATTTAACATTAATAATCAACACACCAATGTGAAAATACAGGGCATGTTTCTGCTGAGTACCGCCAAAAAACACGTTTTTTTTTAAACGGTTAAATTCCTTTGGAAAGTTTTTCTAATGAAAAGTGCAACTAATAAAACACTGTAATGCGAGCATTGGTAGGGAGTGGGGGCAGAGCTTACAATTACTACGGAAGTTGAACTTACTTCCGGTGAGCTACAGCGCATGCTGCGAAAGAAGTCAACAGCACACTGCAAAATTATTAACAAATTATGTTAAGCCTAAAGCATGTCATCCTGTTGGTTTAATTTTTTCTTCACCCCGAATTTTCCGCAGACACGATCAAACGATAGGTCAAGTTGGTCATGACTAACATGGTATTATGTTGCAGCTGAAAAGTGTACCACAAAATACATGCTTTCTGAAAGACCATTTCTGCTGGGGAAAACAATATGTGTTTTTTGATAACTGGTTAAAAACACATGTTTTTCAGGGATTTCAAAAGTTTTGGAAGTAGGAGGCTGAATCTGAAAAATAGCAGGTGCACAAATTATCATCAAAGTTCAGAGTTGGGTGGGGGGGGGGGCATGGTCCGGAATTTTTTTTTTTCTTAGATGCCAGGAAATGGCCTCTCCTGCCTTCTTGGAGCTCTGTTTATGGATATGTTTTATTAAACAAATTAATGTTGTTTTTGTAAGATTTTTTGGTTTTATTCAGCTGGTCATAATGTTGAGTTGTACCTTAATACAACAGACATATAATACAAAAGTAATAATTTGTAATAATTGAATTTATTATTTAAAAAAAATCCAAAATGACTGATATCAAGACATTACTGAAGTACAGTAAACATTTTGTTTCTGCAAGGTATGTATTTATTGTAGTAACAGGCCTGGAGTACTGTTCCACATATTGTGGAAAATAATAAATAGAAGTATATAAAGGTACTTGTTGCATATCATTTGTGTGGTTGCTCCTGGATATAATCGGTTACAACCGTATCATGAGTTGGAATCTGAAAAATAACAATATGAAAAACAAATAAAAAAAGGCATCACTAAATACATTTTTGGACAAATCTAGCTAGGTCTGTATTAATAATCCAGTGAAAAACTTATTATATAATGTATTTAATTATTATATTTTTATAATTATTATTATTTTTATATTATAATAATCAAATCATTGCAATATGTATAAGCTTACATAATTTAATAATTGAAAATAACAATCCTACAGAAGTGTTACTGTAGTAATTAACAATTCTACCTATATTTAATTACCTTTTATGAAATGGCCCTCAGCCAATAGGTCTTCAACATGTGGCTGGGCATCATCTTCAGCTACATGATCATCATTAATAATTTAAAAAATACCATTACCAGTAATAATTACAGTACTACTACTCCTGGTAGACAAGCCTAAGATAGCCAGGAGTTGAATTACAATTGTCAGTCGGGCCCTGTCACATGACATGTTGTTTGTCAATTTGTTTTACTTAAATCTGTAAGTTTTTATTAAGTACAATTTACTATGTATGGTGAAATAATCCTTGTAAGTAAACAATGTGTAGGTTATCCACAATAATTAATTGCTGGAACCGAACAGATTGCATGCACTGAAGATAGTACTATTAGTTTTACTACCCTATATCCTAACTCAACTGTATTAGCTTATAGTCAATATTTTTATTCTATAGCTAGCCTCTTCTTCTAGGCACTAGGCATCCTAGCAGACTAAGATAAGAGAGGCCTAAAGCTACATTCAAATCAAGCCCAGATCTGGTTCTGGAGCCCGGACAAAAATCATGAGTTGCTACGTTTTTTGAAAGTTGCATTCACATCGCGCACGGAACACGGTTGTTTGGGGTAAGTACGTACAGCGTTCGATTGGTTTGAACCAACCAAGCTTGTTGCTGATTGGTTTGAACCAACCAAGCTTGTTGCTGATTGGTCCAAGAAAAAAACGTACTATTTCAGGATACAAATGGCTCTCAGATTCATCGATCCGGATCCGGAGTCCGGATTAGAAATCGTACAAATTTGATGTGAACGGTCCTATTCTTTACCAGTGAACATATTTTTCACGATTTTTTTCTCCGGACCAGAATCCGGGCTTGATGTGAACGAAGCTTAATGAATGAGCAAAACCTCACGGGCCTTTTTAGAGGCCCAGCAATCGTCATTCATGGTCAGACTCATGAATCATTTTATTTGTTTTGTTAATTCACTACCACCACATGTTCAATAAAATACTTACCCTTTTTCACCTTTTTTGAAAATAAAACCATCAATTTTCTCTTCCTTTACATCTTCAGGGGCATTTTCCGCGATCTCCGACTACAACTTTTTATAAACAAAAGATTTGATTGGACAGTGTTAAACGATCCAATTGGAAACCGTTAAACAGACTGCGTTAGGTTAAGTTTTATTCATGAGGTCACTTAAGTGTCAGAGGTGACAATGAGTGAGAGATGTCAACACGAAGTTTTCTGAGTATGCGCTACAAGTGCGGCGAGATCGCCAATCAAACAGATAAATTAACATCATCAGTGTCACATCGGATTATAAAAAATAAACAAGCATTAGACAATTGCTATGATTTGAGTAAATGTAAATATAAAGTAAGTTTTGAGTAAATGTAAATATATCTAGGCCTAGCCATGTATCGGTGTGTGTACATGGGGATTTTCACAGCCTAAAAAGTAGGCAACGCACATGTGGGATGTACACAGAGGATTCCGTTGCGCACCGGCAGCTTTTGAAACCCTTGGTTTATTAATAACCATTTAAAAACACATGTTTCTTTATAAACTTGGGGAAAACACTAAAGTTTTACAATTATTCAAGAAATTAACATCAGCTTCAGCTTTTCTGCATTTTTTTAGAAGTTTTTCCAGTCTTCTACATTCGTCGTTACTAACGTAACGGTTGTAACTCAAATCATGAATAATAGATCCAAACGATCGACAGGATATAATAAACAATACAAATTTAAAAGCGATAAACCTAGATTTAATGAACATGTTTCTGCTGTAAAATAAAGAAACTAAAAACTTGACAGAAACACCACGTCAGCTTATATAGTGACAGTAGTACACGTATGCTTAGCGATACAGATGTTTCAGTAAACTATGGTGAACACTACAGTTGCAACTAAAAAAAGAGTCAAGCCTCATTTACACCTGACACGATTCCGACACGACGACGACATATCGTGTAGTTTGTATTCTTCAACACTGTGCACATCTGTATCGTGTCTTTGTCGTGTCATAATCATGTATAGTGTAAATGAGGCTTTACAGAAGAACCATTATCATTCCACAGGGCAGAACTACCACCAAAGACTGTACTTCTATCTCGACCATCTAGATACCCCATATTATTTGACCAACCAAAGATTCACAGCAAAAAATGTGTTCATCACCAGCAACTAAATCAGTCAGACACTCCTCAGGGAGCAAATCATTTATTCAGCCAGAACTCCAGCATCTCAAGTCCTTAATGAGGGCCAGTAGATATCCAGAAAAGAAATTAAACTTAAAGTAGAACATCAAATAGACAACCCTCATCAGCCTCAAACAAAGGCATTTGTTTGTGCTTGTTCCTTGCTGTTTCTTTTATTGTAAATTGTAATTTTTTTTGAGACAAATAAATGAAATGAAAAAAACCTCAACCTATTTAATATAGCCAGACAACTTCAGCAAATCCAAGGAGTAAACAATCAAGGTGTACCACGTACACAACTCCCCATTAACTTCACCAAGCTCTCCATAGCCACAATGAACTACAGTACCATATCACAAACCATGTGTATACATGAGAAACCATTAAAATAGACTCTATAGTACCCCCGAAAAAGGGTTTGGAAATCAGGTATTTGGTATCATTATTTAAAAATGTATTGTCCTCTGAAAATAACAACCATAAAAAATAACTTAGAAATTAATTTGCTCATTTTGCAGTAACATATGTATGCATATAATATAAACAGATAGATCTATATGTTGAGATGTATATGTGCAGTCTGTGCGCCTGTATGTATACATATATGTACGTTTATACAATGTGTATGCATGCAGGCACATGTGGACAGTGTACTTTATGTGTTTATAATACAGTATTCTTTTTTTCTGGCTTTTACTATTTTAAGTTAAGATCATTTTGCTTCAAATTCTTGTGTCTATAGGACCACACAACAGTCTGTGAGTTCCACCAATACAAATTAACTTGAGCATAAAAATTACTGAATTTTTAAAATGTGCTGTACCCTGATCTGTAATACTGGATTATGAATAAAAATAATAAAACACTTCCAGTGACTAAGTGTTTCTATCATTTTTAGCTGTAAATTTAGGGTAAACATTTTTTTAAATATACTTATTTTAGGTTGATAATTGTTGCTACTTGAAATAAGCAAGTTAATTTCAAAAATAAATTTTATAATTATTTTATAAATTTTTTGGTATTTTGTATGGGACAATACATCTTTAACTTTCATTGTCATTTACAGTGGCAGGTCCAAAATCTTTTTGCCAGGGTGGGGTGTGTGTCAATGAGTGTCTATGAGTCTGAAGGGGGCAAGATCATATGGTCGAGAGAAGGTTTTGAGGGTTTCCCTACCTTGACGGGGTCCAGGAGAGCTTTGTTATAAATGCTTTAAAACAGATACTGGTGGAATTTAAATTGAAAATTAACTCATTTGGGAGTACAAATGCTTCGCCCCTCTATGCTTTCTTTTCTTTTCTTCTTTTTTTCCCCCTCATTTTTTGGGGAAGAGGCCTAGGCCCTTTTGCCTCCCTGAATCACACCATCCCCCCCCCCCATCCGCGTAGAATATGCTAACTGGATACTTACTTATATTCATATTCTCCATGATCTTTATGATGCACACAACTACCGCTCTTGTACTGTCCCTTCTCACAAACTCTACAGCATTCTTTCACAGATTGATCACAATGATAAGCATGTGTCTCAAAGTTATCACCCTCACAATTCTGAAAAAAAAATTTACAATATTGTAGTTTAAAAACTGAACTCTATATTACATTTCTCATCTTAAATTTTTTTTTTTTGAATGCAACATATATATTTGAATTTATGATATAAAATTGTAAACATCATAACTTAGTCCATGTTTCCGCAGCAATTATAATTTCTCCAATAAAATATCTTTAAAATTCCCTCAAATTATTTTTCTCATCATGCAAAATTATGGACCACAATGCAATGTGTTCAACATCAAAACATCTGTATTGCAGTCCTAGCAGGTGATCCTAATACGACTATTTTTTTTTTTACAACAGTATAAGCATTCCCACAAAGAAGTGCCTATAGCAACAGGCACGATACACGATATTGAAAGACGAAGGAGCCTTGACACTTTAGTTTCAATAGGATTTATGCAACTTCACAAATCCAACATTCCATATCCAAAGGTGAAAACTTGTTTCATCAGTAGGCTTGTTAGCCTGTGCTATCCTGCAATTTCGAAATATAGTACCAAACAATGTATTATTAAATTGTAATCAAATATAAGTATAAATAACAGTAAATCATCAAATGAATCATTATTCAGAATATTCATAGACCCAATAATATTCTCAAACAATAATAGTAACTGAATTTTCTAATGCTGTAATTAAATTCCACTATTAGCTAGAATTCTACCTAGGTCTAGTACAGTTTAACATTGCTAATTCATTGTGCACTTAAGTTGAGGTCGCTTAGCAACTGGTTGCTAGGCTAGATTTTTAACACCGCGAGCTTGTAATCCTTTCGTAAACAAGTCTAAACTTTCGTCCACTGCAGACATAATTAACAATACTACCACATAAAACATGCGTCATAATGAACCTAAATTATTCTTATATCAACATAGCAGCATTAAACATAACACTATCAAACTCTGTATATGTTATTTTTAATGATGAATTAGAACCAGGCCTACACTCTGCATTCACCGGCTAACCTAATGGCGCAGCCTCGGTAGGCATACGTCGTCAACCATGATCAGCCGTAGAATAGTTAGCATATATATCTATATAGTTAGCATATATATACACCAAATCATGTCTGATGCATTGCACATCATCCCTAGATCCAGTAATTTAACTAGAACCAAATTACTAACAATTAATTTAAATCGCAATGTGAATAATCATAAAAGAGATATTCATTTAATACCTTATATTTTCCGTCTACCTTAGCGTTGGCTGCGTTATGCTGTAACTGGCCTTGCCAGGTAATTTAAAAATTTAACCAAAACTTACATGACTGCCGTAACAGTGCCCACGGGTACCGAACAAATTCTTTGCATGTACTGTACCATGATTTTACCTTAGCCAAAGTGGTTTTTATCAAAATCTGTGCCGTTTCCGATAAATTATCTGACTTTCGTCCAATAATTTATTAGAAATTTTGGGTTCCAGTGTGATCCAGAGGAAAATCCCCCGAAGTTCTGACAAAGTAGCATTTTGAGAACCTTATTTAATGACTTTCTCAAACTCATAATTCATGAAAATTCAATTTAAATTTCCATTCATTTGGGTCTTGTTCGGTGACCTGAAGAAGTAACTTATGTCCATTAAATGGGTTTTTTTATTCATTTTTTTACTGTATGCTGATATAAAACTCAAAATACAAACATCAAATAATCAAAAAATAAAATAATAATATAATTAAACAAAGAAATATTAAAGACGACGTAAAATTTTGTGGAGATAAATAAAAGAAAAAATGATGGCATTGATTATGTGCAAACTGTCAATTAATTTGGAAACCGTGGAACATTAGTATAAAATGAAATGTTTGAAATGGAAAATAACAGAACCGATGATTGAAAATGGTATATAGTTTTACATTTTTGGAGCAAAGGTAGGTAAATGATAATCTATACGATTCAAGATTAGGCTTGGGTATAATTCTGAGTTATGTTGGTCATTTATCGTTGGGGAGAGCAAAAAAGTTTAGATCAACGCAGATGAAATTTAGCTTGTTGAGAGAGCTACAGTAGAAACCCTCATTTATGTACGTTACGGGCCGAGAGTAAAAATCATTCGTATGTAAAATCAGAGTTGTGCGAAATTCCTTTGTATTTACGCTACCGATATGCTAGGTTGGGCTAAGTTAGGCCTGGACTGGAATTTTGTTGGATCGGAGCCAAACTCTGACTTGTGCTCGAAAGAAATTCAATATAACGATCGTAATAATGTACATATGTCAACGTGTATACCAACTTTATTCTCTTTCTAGGTAATAATGTAAGATTTAACTTCTAGCTTACGAAGAAACACCGCCCTACAGACCCTGCAACAGGGTGAATAACGCCATGGCACTTTTCACTCGATCCACATGCTCTGTGCTTTTCACTCGATCCACATGCTCTGTGGCGTCAAGTAAAAAATACCCCGGAAACCAGGGGCATATGAATTTGTAAGAGCCAAAAACAGCACCTAACAGAACAGATTAATTCTTGCTTTCTAGCGCGTATCATTCAATGTTTCCTGTGCGAGTTCAGCGTGTGATGTAGGCTACGTAGTGAGGCGAACGCTTGCATTCATTTCACTGTAACATGTGAATTGAGAGGGAAGCACAATTAACTACAAACCTAATTATGATGAGAATCTACTAATCATAAGCTTTCCATTCATATATTTCATGAAGTAAAAAGAGCAATAGAAAGGGTCTAACTTATCAAACAAACACCAGGCACACTCCAGTCTTTCAATGTTTCCTGTGCGAGTTCAGCGCGTGATGTAGGCTACTGTACGTAGTGAACCGCGAACAATTGCATTTATTTCACTGTAACATGTGAATTTTGAGGGAAGCAAAATTATAACTGCAAACCTAATTATACTTACATGATGAGAATCTACTAATCATAAGCTTTCCATTCATATATTTCATTAAGTAAAAAGAGCAATAGAAAGGGTCTAACGTATCAAACAAACACCAGGCACACTCCAGTTTTCACATCAGTCGCCGGAGGAAAATGATTACGCTGAAACAAGCGCCTGTATACAATACAGTCAATGGTGTTTGGAAGGCTTGATTCTATTGGTTTCCAAAAGTGACAGAGCTAAATATTGACTAATCACAAAGAATAAAGATCAACTTACAGAGAGAAAGAAACCGAGTTATTCTGATTAGAATTTGGTAACATGAGCCGCGAAAGGTAAAAAATCTGCTTTCGCTGGAAGTCCAATGTAGTTGCCTACTTTTAATTGAAAAGTGACAAGATAAAACAAATCTATCTCGTTTTATTTCATCTCATTAGAAAGATGAAAGATAGATCTTTTATTTTAAAAAAGGAGGAAATTGATCTGATGAGCAGTTCCAAAGTTATGGTAGAAAAGACTGTAAAAAAGGGTGTTATCAGGGTTTTTTTTAGAGGAGTTTTATCAATTTATGCCAGCGCGCTACTAAAGAGCGCGTACAAATTCATATGTCACAACTGTTTAAAAGAAGAGCGCTGATTGGCTGTAGACACAGCACTTGGACTTTGTTGTTTTTTTTTGGGTTTTTTTTTTTAGTTTAAAATACGATCGTACTACACCTACATCAGAATTTATGTATATGAATAATAAAGTTAAAAAGTAAATGTGGGTGTCAGTGTCTTATTTTATGGGGGAAATAATGAAATGGTAGATTAATGTTAGTGTCAGATTTGATAAAATAAATAAAATACATTTTTAATTGGGGGTTATCATTAAATTACAATATGAAGGTGGTGTATTCACCGGTGTATTCAGTGATGATTTGTTGTGTGTGTTGGAGCGGGGTGTGTGTGTTTTATGATGAGGGTAGGGGATTTTTTTCATAATCCAGGCAATAAGCAAAATTCCTTTGGCAAATTTGGTGGTCCTGAAAATATATTGTGAACATACATGTTAATTTTCATTTGGTTGAAAAAAGCCTCCATAATTTTTTATTGATGTAAAATTTCGCTTAAATTTTCTGTGGAAGCACCTTTCTTTTATAGCATGATCAATGCCATTTCAAAGTTATTTCTTTGTGGAGTATGGAAATTGACAGTGCAGCACAAACAGCTTAAGCAATATTTTATTCAGTTATAAGCTGTTTTATGAATGGTTGAGAAAAATCGCTGTACTTTGTACAATGAAATATTGACGAATAAGCACTATTGATCCTGCTATTACTTAGGCTTACACTACGCCAAAATGACGCGTTTGTACTGTATACGGTGGTCGTCTGTATGATTGCTCTCATAAGGAAAAAGTTTCTACATTTACGTAATGCACCACATAATTAGCTTTCAATTTTAATGCAGAATCTTGCACACGCCCACCTACTGTGTATGGGCGTGTGATTAAAGTTGTAGAATAAATAGGCCATGGGGTGAAAATCCTAACGTTCAGTCCCGTTCCGAAAATTTCCTAATACTTTCACTCATTATGATAATTATTATAATAATATTTAAAAGCACCAAAAAAAAGTTCAACCGTCGGAACTTCTGCAAATACGAGAAAATGACGTTTAAACTTACGAAATTGAAAGTTCTTTGCGCTAGATTAGCACACAACATTTTGTTAACGTCACTGTACTCGTTCGAATATTGTATTTTTGATCACATCTAGATGTGTATAAGAGACAGGTATAATTCTGAGTTATGTTGGTCATTTATCGTTGGGGAGAGCAAAAAAGTTTAGATCAACGCAGATGAAATTTAGCTTGTTGAGAGAGCTACAGTAGAAACCCTCATTTATGTACGTTACGGGCCGAGAGTAAAAATCATTCGTATGTAAAATCAGAGTTGTGCGAAATTCCTTTGTATTTACGCTACCGATATGCTAGGTTGGGCTAAGTTAGGCCTGGACTGGAATTTTGTTGGATCGGAGCCAAACTCTGACTTGTGCTCGAAAGAAATTCAATATAACGATCGTAATAATGTACATATGTCAACGTGTATACCAACTTTATTCTCTTTCTAGGTAATAATGTAAGATTTAACTTCTAGCTTACGAAGAAACACCGC